AGGGTTCTTGTATACCATTTCTTGGCAATTCCTTTGATTCAATTCATTTCGTTGTATTTGGTGAGATTTTGCGTGTTTTGGACTTTAATTTGAGCTTGGTATTGAAAATCCCCGAAGGGATTATTTCGGTGTACTGGAGTGTACCCGCGGGCGGAACGGCGGGCAGTGGCCTACCCGCCGCCCCACCCGCGGGGTACATGGCCAGTGGGTGTTGTACCCGCGGGCAGAACCACGGGTGGGGGTCTACCCGTGGGTCAACCCGCGGGGAACATGATGGAGTTGTTTGGGGATTTGTTCCCCGTGATTCTTTTGACTCGGTATTTGGTCTTTTGACTTCCCGATGTTCTTTTGTGGAACTATTTGAGCGTCTTCTTGATGTTTCGTATGTCTAGAACTATATGGTAGGAATCCATGTTGGTTTTGGTGTCTTAAATCGTGCTAAGTGTTCAACATTGTGTTTCGTTGAACCGTGATGAGTCTTGTATGTTCTTCGGAACTACGTTTGGTTTACCCATTTGATAAGCATGCTAGTTCGGTGTAAATTCTAGCGTGTGTGTTGTTTGTACCTTCTTATCGTTGATGATAACTTGTGTTATTCATCGTTGTGGTTGGACTGTGAGCCATTCCTTGATTGAGTATGGTTTCATATCTTCGTTGTGATCCGTTGATTTATTCCTGTTGAGGTGTGATGTGTGTGTGGCTTTACCTGGATTGCACGATTAGTGGTATGGGACACTAGTCACCAAGGTATTGCAGTGGTCCTCGTGGTGGCCATGACGTGGTTATGGAGTTGTGACCTTTGTGTAAGGATCACGTATTTCTTGGGAGGCATGTGTTGCCAAGGCATGTGTTGCCATGTCTGTGATCGGTACCCTCGTGTACTATGAAATTGGTGGTTTTGTTGGCGGTCGTTGGCGGATGGGGACGACGGTCCTCGGACGGAAAAGGTTGGACTTGGTGTACAGGGGTCCTGGAGGTAATGGTTGGAACTAGACATAAGGTTGGGGGTAGCCATAAGGTTGGAACCGGGCATAAGGAAGGCATCTCAATTCGTGATGGGTGATGTCACGAAGGCTTGTGTAGCCGTTGTTGTGTATTTCTCTATTTTGTGACGTGTGTAGTCACAAAGGCATGTGTTGTCGTTGGTTGTGTCCTATCTCTTGTGTTATGCATGTCGGGTGTTAATATATTGTGTGATGATAGATTATACCTTGAGCCGTCCTTGTGAGTTGTTGATTGTTCTTCGTAGCCTTGGGATGTGTTCCCTTGTCTTGTTGTGAGTGCTTTGAGTCTTGTGTTGACCTTTGCTCTTGGTTTTGAACTTATATATATGTATTCCGTTTCGCAAAAGGCTTTACAAACGTATATATATTATCTATGTATGATATTTCACATGTATTGGTGGGTTACCAGCATTATTCGCTGACCGGGCGTCGTCCCATCTTTTATGTGTTTCTTTCAGGTGATGTTTTAGACGAGAGCGTGGTTTAGTGCCAGCTAGTGTAGCTCCTTTCATGTGTTTTGTGGCCTGTGAGCCCAGTATAGACTTAGTACTTGAACATGTATGGTTTTAGATGTTGATTTATGCAGATGTTAGCCTTTGCGTTCGTCTCGGGATGAGTGTGGCATAGCACCCCTTTTACTTCCAGTTTATGTATTCCTTTTTCGGTCTTCTGCTGTGTCTGATGTTTTGTTTAGATATCTGCATATTTAAGGCTTTAATTAGCTTGGAAAATTAGGGGGTGTTACAGTGGGTATCAGAGCCTTGGTTTGAGCCTAGGAGGGTAAAGTGTAGACTTCTAAGTGGCTAAGTGTGGTTTGAGACCTTAAAGCGACCTTAAGAATCTAAGTGTTAGGCTTAGGACTCTAGGTTGCGCGGTGAGCTGAGTGTTGCTTTCAGTTATGTGCTTGTTTGTTGTCTTTTTGGTAACCGTGTTGTTGTTGTAGAAGTTTGCGATGTCCCCTCGTTGGCGTATCGTGTCGTTTGAAGAAGTGTGTGATGCCGCCAAGAGACCCAGAACAACAGGAGTTCATGACGCTCCTAGTGTAGTCGAACAATTGATTCGAAGTGGCACGTCCTCTCGAATAAGCCCCAGCGCAGCTACCTTGCCATCGTTCCGTGATCTAAGAAGAAGTGGTGGGTTGGGGGCTCAGAGTTTGTCAGAAGAGTTAACCCAAGGGAGGACCCTCATCCTAAGCGAGGCTCGGGCGGGGGACAGTGATGTAGTGATCGGAACGTTTTTGGTGCATGCCGTTCCAGCAGTAATCTTGTTCGATTCTGGGGCGTCCAACTCGTTCGTATCCCCGGAACTCGTGAAGAAGTTGGGCCTAACCGAAGGAGTTGGGGTGAAACTAAATGTTAAAGTGGCATCAGGAGAAGTTAAGGCTTGTGATCGTCTCTTCAAAGACGTTAAGATAGCCATCGACGGAGAAGAGTTTTCCAGTAATTTAATACAGTTCGGCCTGGACGGGGTAGATGTGGTCCTGGGTATGGACTGGCTAGGACGGTTCAGAGCCCAGATCTTGTGTGGTGAACAGAAAGTGGTTTTGAGAGGACCAAGTGGGAAGAGGGTGTCGTACCGAGGATCAACAAAAGAACCAGGGATCAAGTTAGTGTCCATGATGAAGATGAAAAAGTACGTAGAGAAGGGCCACGAGATCTTCTTGTGCTTAGTTGAAAACCTGGAGGCCAAAAAAGATGTAGCTCAGACCATACCTGTTGTATGTGAATTCATTGATGTCTTCCCCGAGGAGATTCCGGGAATGCCTCCTTCAAGAGAAGTTGAATTCTCAGTGGATCTTATACCCGATACAGCGCTTATATCCAAAGTTCCCTATCGTTTAGCGCCTAAGGAGATGCAGGAGTTGAAGACTCAGTTGCAAGAGTTGTTAGACAAAGGCTACATCCGGCCGAGTACATCACCGTGGGGAGCGCCAATGTTGTTTGTGAAGAAGAAAGATTGAAGCATGAGGTTGTGCATCGACTACCGCGAGTTGAATCAAGTCACAATAAAAAACAAGTATCCCCTGTCGCGGATCGACGACTTGTTTGATCAACTCCGAGGTGCCGGGGTGTTCTCCAAGATTGATTTAAGATCAGGTTACCATCAGTTGAAAGTGGCAGATCAGGATATACCTAAGACGGCGTTCCGAACGCGCTACAGCCACTACGAGTTCACGGTAATGCCGTTCGGGTTAACCAACGCGCCAGCAGTGTTCATGGATCTAATGAATCGTGTATTCAAGCCTCATCTCGACGACTTCGTGATCGTGCTCATATACGACATCCTTTCGTATTCTCGGGATAAAGAAGAGCATGTGGGTCATCTTCGGACAGTACTGCAGATTCTGAGGGAAAAGCAGTTGTACGCCAAGCTTTCGAAATGTGAGTTTTGGAAAGATAGCGTAGCATTCTTGGGTCATGTGATAGATAGCAGAGGTATATCGGTGGATCCAGATAAGGTTCGGGCAGTGAAAGAGTGGATCATGCCGACAACTGTGGCAGAAGTAAGAAGCTTCTTGGGTTTATCGGGTTATTATCGAAGGTTTGTGTTGGACTTCGCTAAGGTGGCTCAACCGTTGACAAAGCTGTTGAAGAAGGATATGCCCTTCCAATGGAATCAAGCTTGCGAATTAGCGTTCCGGGAGTTGAAAGAGAGGCTCACGACCGCACCGATGTTAATCCTACCATCCGGGACAGAAGGGTTCGAGGTATATAGTGATGCATCTAAGAAGGGACTAGGTTGTGTGTTGATGCAAAATGGGAGAGTGATAGCTTATGCATCGCGACAGCTTAAAGTACATGAAGAGAACTACCCCACGCATGATTTGGAGTTGGCAGCTGTGGTTTTCGCTTTGAAGATTTGGAGGCATTATTTGTATGGCGTGCGTTGCAAGATCTTTATGGACCATAAGAGTTTCAAGTATATCTTCACCCAGAAGGATCTCAATATGCATCAGAGATGGTGGTTGGAACTCATTAAAGATTATGAGTTGGATATACAATATCACGAAGGAAAGGCAGTTGTTTTGGCGGACGCTCTGAGCAGGAAGACCAACATGCCGTTAGTTCCATTTGGGTAGTGGCTGACGAGCTTTGCAAGGAATTTCAAAGGTTGAACCTAGAAGTGGTGGAACAAGGTGAAGTTGAGTCGGAAACTCGTCTTTTCAACCTAAGAGTCATACCTACGCTTTTGGAGGAGATCAAAGCGGAACAATGGAAGGATGTTAGCTTGATGAAGGCAAGAGAGGACCTAGAAAAGGGAAAGGGGGGACCGTTTGAGTTGTCCACGGATGGAGAGTTGAGGTACGCAGGCCGTCTATGTGTACTAACATCTTGTGATCGGTTGAAGCGTCAGATTTTGGAAGAAGGCCATAATACACCCTATTCTGTACATCCTAGAGGCGACAAATTGTATAAAGACGTGAAGAAGCTTTTCTAGTGGCCTAACATGAAGAAGGAGGTGGCGGAGTTTGTAGGCAGATGCTTGACTTGTCAAAAGGTGAAAGCGGAGCGTTGCAGGGTCAAAGGCTTGGTACATCCATTGGAGGTTCCACAAGGAAAATGGAACTCCATATCTATGGACTTCATGGGAAGCTTGCCGGCAACCCGTTCTGGTAAGGATAAAATCTGGGCAATAGTTGATCGCTTGACCAAGACCGCTCGCCTTATCGCGATGAAAGAAACATGGACAATGACGCAGTTGGCCCAAGCCTATGTTAATCAGGTAGTGAAGTATCATGGAGTGCCAAAACATATAGTCTCCGATCAGGATCCAAGGTTCTAGCCACAGTTTCGGAGGTCCTTGCAAGCAGCTTTGGGGACCAAGCTGAATCTCAGTACCGCCTTCCATCCGACTACAGACGGACAAACAGAGAGGACTATTCAGACTATCGAGGATATGTTAAGGGCATGCATGCTGGATTTTCAAGGATCATGGGAGGATCGCCTAGACTTAATAGAGTTCTCCTATAACAACAGTTATCACTCGAGTATACGCATGGCTCCTTATGAAGCTCTTTACGGTCAAAAGTGTCGCAGTCCATTGTGTTGGGAGGATAAGGTCAATTCGGTAGTTTTAGGACCACAGTTCTTGCTTGACACCGCAGAAAAGGTTAAACAGATTCAGAGCAGGATGAAAGCGGCACAAGATCGTCAAAAGTCCTACGCCGACCGAGCAAGAAGGCAAGTAGAGTTCGCAGTTGGGGATAAAGTCTTGTTAAGAGTATCGCCCACCCGGGGAGTGATGAGGTTTGGAAGGAAGGGCAAGCTAAGCCCCCGTTTCATAGGACCTTATGAGATACTTGAGAGGGTTGGGAACCTAGCTTATCGGTTGGCACTACCTATGGAGATGGAGCGAGTCCATAATGTCTTCCACGTATCTCAGCTTAAGAAGTATGTCCACGACCCGACACATGTTCTTCCACCGGAAGTGATCCCTTTGGACGATGATATGTCTTATGAAGAAATGTCGCTCAAGATCTTGGATTTTAAGACCCGGGATACGCGTAGGAAATCGATGAAGATGGTGAAGGTTTGGTGGTCACATCACGGAGTAGAAGAAGCTACTTGGGAGTTGGAATCGACCATGAGGGAGCGTTACCCAGAGTTGTTCTCGACAGGTACCTTGTCCTATCGTTTGTTGGTTGCTTGTTGTTTGCTTTGTGTGCTTGTTCTTGCTTGTTTGTTTTGTTGAGTAGCTAGTTTTGTGGTTGGTGCTTTGAAGTAGTCGTTAGTTCGTAGTTGTTGTCTAGAAGTTGGTGGTTGTGTTTGGTTTAGAGTTTGATATGCTCAATATATCCGTTGGTTAAATTCCTCCAATTCTTGTTTTAGTATACATTCTTTCTTGCTTGCTTTGAATCCTTGTGAATCCTTTTGGGTTTTGACCAAAAGAGATTGTTCTTGGCATTCTTGTCACATAGTTGTTTCATCTCACCGTTTGTCTTAATTCGTCGTACCCAAGCTTCGGGGATGAAGCTTCTTTGAAGGGGGAGAGGATGTGACACCCCGTAATCCAAATTCAATTAAAGGATTAATTAAGTAATTAATCCTAAATCAATTGGTAAATTAATTCCTTAAATTCCTGAAAATTCAATAGTCGGGGACTAGTAATTGACAAGTCAACCCCAAAGTCAATATTGTACCTTAAGCTTTGTAAGGAGTTCCCTTGTTCCCTTACACCTCTTTATGTTAGTAAGGGTATTCATGACCTTTCACCTTGTGTTAGTAATGCAAGCTAACCTAGTAGACAATCCTCATTTCTCTCCTTACACTTTCCAAACTTTAGCTCTATCTTCTCGCTAAAAAGGTAGATAGCTTTTCTTCCAATCCAAGTTGAAGCTTTGTCAAATCTTCAAGAGTTGTCTCCAAGATTCTACCTTTCATACATTTGGGCATCTAGGAGGGTAAGATCTATGTTCATCTTGTGTTTTTTAGTGTTTTCTTAGGTGTCTTTTCTTAAAGATAGAATCTTTATGATCTTTTGGTGTGTTCTTGAAGTAGGTTTGGAAGGTGAGCCTTATTAGGAGCTTGGTGAAGTGTTATGTGAAGGTTTTTGTCTACAAGAGGTAACCCATGCTCTACAAAATCTATTTTGCTTACCTATATGATGATTTATTGGATTCTACATGTGTTTTGCTATGATATGTGACTGTTTATGCATTGTCTTGTGAAAATGCATATCTAGAGCTTGTTATTAGGTTTCTTGTATGCCATTTCTTGGCTATTCCTTTGATTCAAGTCATTTTGTTGTATTTGGTGAGATTTGGCGTGTTTTGGAATTGAATTTGAGCTTGGTGTTGAAAATCCCCGAAGGGATTATTTCAGTGTAACGGAGTGTACCCGCGGGCGGAATGGCGGCAGTGGCCTACCCGCCGCCCCACCCGCGGGGTACATGGCCAGTGGGTGTTGTACCCACGGGCGGAACCACGGGTGGGGGTCTACCCGTGGGTCAACCCGCGGGGAACATGATGGTGTTGTTTGGGGATTTGTTCCATGTGATTCTTTTGACTCGGTATTTAGTCTTTTGACTTTCCGATGTTCTTTTGTGGAACTATTTGAGCGTCTTCTTGATGTTTCGTATGTCTAGAACTATATGGTAGGGATCCATGTAGGTTTTGGTGTCTTGAATCGTGCTAAGTGTTCAACATTGTGTTTCGTTGAACCGTGATGAGTCTTGTATGTTCTTCGGAACTACGTTTGGTTTACCCGTTTGATAAGCATGCTAGTTCAGTGTTTAAATGCTAGCGTGTGTGTTGTTTGTACCTTCATATCGTTGATGATAACTTGTGTTATTCATCGTTGTGGTTGGACTGTGATCCATTCCTTGATTGAGTATGGTTTCATATCTTTGTTGTGATCCGTTGACTGATTCCTATTGAGGTGTGATGTGTGTGTGGCTTTACCTGGATTGCACGATTAGTGGTATGGGACACTAGTCACCAAGGTATTGTAGTGGTCCTCGTGGTGGCCATGACGTGATTATGGAGTTGTGACCTTTGTGTAAGGATCACGTATTTCTTGGGAGGCATGTGTTGCCATGTGTGTGATCGGTACCCTCGTGTACTATGAAATTGGTGGTTTTGTTAGCGGTCATTGGCGGATGGGGACGACGGTCATCGGAGGGAAAAGGTTGGACTTGGTGTACAGGGGTCCTGGAGGTAATGGTTGGAACTAGAAATAAGGTTGGGGGTAACCATAAGGTTGGAACCGGGCATAAGGAAGGCATCTCAATTCGTAATGGGTGATGTCACGAAGGCTTGTGTAGCCGTTGTTGTGTATTTCTCTATTTTGTGACGTGTGTAGTCACAAAGGCATGTGTTGCCGTTGGTTGTGTCCTATCTCTTGTGTTATGCATGTCGGGTGTTAATCTATTGTGTAATGATAGATTATACCTTGAGCCGCCGTCCTTGTGAGTTGTTGATTGTTCTTCGTAGCCTTGGGATGTGTTCCCTTGTCTTGTTGTGAGTGCTTTGAGTCTTGTGTTGACCTTTGCTCTTGGTTTTGAACTTATATATATGTATTCCGTTTCACAAAAGGCTTTACAAACGTATATATATTATCTATGTATGATATTTCACATGTATTGGTGGGTTACCAGCATTATTCGCTGACCGGGCGTCGTCCCATCTTTTATGTGTTTCTTTCAGGTGATGTTTTAGACGAGAGCGTGGTTTAGTGCCAGCTAGTGTAGCTCCTTTCATGTGTTTTGTGGCCTGTGAGCCAAGTATAGACTTAATACTTGAACATGTATGATTTTAGATGTTGATTTATGCAGATGTCAGCCTGTGCGTTCGTCTCTGGATGAGCGCGGCATAGCACCCCTTTTACTTCCAGTTTATATATTCCTCTTTCAGTCTTCCGCTGTGTCTGATGTTTTGTTTAGATATCTGCATATTTAAGGCTTTAATTATCTTGGAAAATTAGGTGATGTTACATACTGGCTATATATATGCAGTAGAATATGCACTAGTGATACAAAAGTATATGCACTGGCTATAGAAGTTCTTTTACTGCATATATATATATATATATATATATATATATATATATATATATATATATACACACACACACACACACACTGCTGCCTTTATCCAAATTTAACAGTATGATTACTTTCAAAGATATAAATTTAGTTTTTTTTTTTATGCATTTTCTAATGAAAATCTCATCATTTCCTGATCCTTGGTTTCATTTGATAAAAGGAAGAATGGCCATTCTTCCTTTTAAGGAACAAAACTCAAGAAAATCCCACTAACTAGAATATCCCCTCGAAGGAATTTTCTATAAACCAGAAAAACTGTCAACCAAAAAAACTCTAAACCAAATTTTCAGCCTGTCTGTTTCGATTAAACTAGCTATAAATAATGAAAGAATACAATTTATTTCGATGGAGGCATAATGATAAAAATTATCTTACCAATGCTTGAACAGAATCTTTATCATCAATGTCTGGCATATTCTCAATTAAAGTTTTCAAGTAAGCCATTACAAAGATACCGCATTGGTTACTATCCGGTTGACGAAGAAACTACAGATTTTAAATAATATTTGTATGTGCATTAACAATTTATCTAGATATAAATACATATACAAACACTTATATCTAATTAGTTAAAAATATTAAATTACCTTGACAATTTCTCAAACAATTTTACTTCTTCCTTTCTTTCCATTCTCAGAGGCCGCATGAAACATTTTAATAGCCGTTCATATATATATATATATATATATATATATATATATATATATATATATATATATATATATATATATATATATATATATATATATATGGTTGTATTCACATGCAAACATCCTTAAAATACAAACATGTGGACATATATCGTGCACACACCTAAATGCGGGTGTGCACACATCCGCGGACGACAATGCACACATTCAATACAGTATGCATGTGTGAATCCACAATATTTGGGCCGGCGTGCACACGTCCATGAATGACAGTGCACACAGGCGCAACACAAAAAATCATAAAAAGTATTCATACCATATGTACACAGTAATACATGTAATACATATCAAATTGACTATAAATACGAAATATATATCAAATCATACCATATGTACACAGTAATACAGGTGTACGATATTGGCATCAATTGTCAAAAAGGAGTCACATCTTCGTCGTGCATATAGAGAGTACAATCTTTCCCGAAGACATTATTATGATCTAGCAATATTTTTAAACTCTCTCCATTCCCAATCGCACGCTTGTAATAACAGTATAGTAGCCATAATGACTTAGGCATACATGAGGAGTTCAACTCAAGCTTTTTGATTTCCTTGGCAGCTTTCTTACATTGTTTCTAATTTGCAAAATATACACATATTAGCTAAATAAATAAATATACTAAGAAAGACATGTTTATTATATACATACACAAATTAGCATCATGATTATGTAAAATAGATTGTGTGCAAATATCTCTGTTGATGGAATGAACAAGTAAATAGGATATATGAAAACTGCAAATATGATATATGAAAACAAGCAAATATGACTCCATAGCACCATAAACAGCAGCAAGGACTAAAGAATTAGGCCACAGATTGATCATATACAATCCCACTACTAGCTTGAATCAGCATTCTCAACTATACAACTCTTGTTTTTGCACTTAGAATCCTCTAAATTAGTAAATTTCTCAGCCGAACAATCTAAATTTCTATCCAACGTAATAATCAATTTATATGGTGTGCTGAAATTGAGTTTTGGGCGTTAAAATTGTTAGTTTTCCAGTTCTGATTTTCTAATTTCTTGCATGAATTTGTACTAGAAAGATCACTAAAACCTGAATAAAGTGAATCAAATTATGTTTTCATTTCTACATATTGAAGTCTATAATAATAATATATGTCAACAATAATTGTAATACTTACCTTCAAGACATCTGATTTGTCAATAAATTTCAGCTCATCATCATCCTCATCAAAATCCAATTTTTCTTTAATATATCCAATTTCTTCTTCACTCAACTTGTTGGCACCCTTTGTATCCTTTGCAGTACAACTTCCTTTTTCTTCAATATGAATATTACTGCTAACATTTTGAAGTACCAAATTTTCTAACTTTGCTACTCTGTCTTCAACTTTTGCTTGTCGGCTATTTCTCATGAGTAGGCATCATCCCTCTACCCATTCTAAAATATGTTGAAGGATTGACATGTCCCCCTATAGCCCTCACCCGACCTCCATGCTCCTTAG